GCTTTTGATTGTGTTTCCAAAATGAATAACAGCTTTCAATCACAGTGTCTCCACCTCTCTAACTTCTATATAACTCATCTCATCTGTCTCTGTATAATCCCACAATTAATGTCTTGAAAGCTTAAGTTGTTTAAGAAACAAAAAATATCAATATGAGCTATAATGCAAAATACTTAGTACTTTTAATTGTTCTTGTTTTCGTTATTACCTCCACTGATGTTTCAGATGCTATCCCTCGTCATTTCATGTATCTCAGTTCGGATAAGGTAAATTTTCTTTCTTTTCCGTTTTAAAATATACTCAACTTTTGTATATAACATGATATTATGGTTCCTGTACTGCGATTAATCAGTTACTATTTGTTCATATTAATTAACATCCGATTATATATGTGCCTTTTGAATGAAAAAAGAGTTTCAAGGAGGATAATGAAATAATTAAGGAGAGAGAGCTTGTGGAGTTTCATCTTGACTATGCAAGAACCGGAGCCAATCAAGATCATGAACCAGGGAAAGGAAGACCTTAAACCAACGTTATTATTCTCATAAAATAATGAGCTTCGTTTAAATCTGCACATAATATGATTGAAATGGGCTAAGCTTTTGGGCAAGGAAAAAACCTGCATGTAAAAGAAAAAGATGTGTACGTATGCATATTGATGTAAGTTTGATTAAAACAGATATTAATTTAAGTCATTAACATGAAGTACCATGGTTAAGTACACTTTCAATTCACTGTTATTTTCTTAGTTTGTAGTATAACGTTTTTTTTTTTTTGCTAAAAAATTTGTAGTACTTGTGTTTCACTTTAAGGGGTGATGTTTAGGCAATTTGCACACAAACTAAGTTAATATGAACATTTTTTTTTTTTAAAGAGATATATATTTCATAGCAGAGTGAATACAAAAACAGAGTAATGACCAACGCACATGAAACAAACACGAGGGAATCAAATGCAATCGAGAGCCAAGGGGAAACAAAGGAGAAATAGAAGATCAATCCAAGGTCAATCTTCTAGACTCCGCTTCAAAAAGATCCCGTAACCAAGAAGGAGGGCCCGAGGCAATATAGGATTGAAATCGATTCCCGAAGATTGCACTCTTTGCTATCTTATAAGCGGGGAGATTTGCTCGTCGTGATTCAAAAACAAAGGACCAAAACGGGATCCCACTGAGTAGGTTAAGAAGCTTGGTAGAGTGAAACAAGAAAGACGGCCAAGTTTGAGGACGTGCGACCGCATTAACCAAATCCCGGTCCGTTGTTGCGAAAGAAACCCTGCAATACCCAAGAGTGGCGACACTTTCAATCGCCCAACTAATGACGAGATAAGACGCCTGCAGTTGAGAAGGCACAAGGG